TTTTTTTTTTTTTTGTAAATTATTTTTTATTTATTTAGGAATTTCAGATATATTTTTTATTCTCTAAAAAAAATTAATTTACATGTAACCACAATAATAACATCTAATCACATTATATGGTTCAACATACTATATGGTCAACTGTCAGTATTCAAAAGTTTAAAATATTTTTTGTAATTTTAAAGTGATTAATGTGTTGATTATTTATTAATTAAATGAAAGGTTAAATAATCAAAAGTAACAGTTTTTGGAGGGAAAATGTTAAAATTGTCACATAGGTATAATTTAATAAGTTTTCTTAAATGCTCATGAGCTAGTAATTATATATATATATACATGGTTTTGGTTAAATTTGGTCAGTTATTTTTACATTTAAATATGAGCAATAAAATAAACTAATGAGTATGAATGATAAAATATAATAATGTCTTCATAAACACCATATATATACAATAAACTAAAAAAAGTAGAACGTTCTTAAAACTAAGCACAAAATGAGTTCTTATAATAATAGATCTTCAAATATCAACAATTCATAAAACGAATGTCAATGAAATGTCAGTACAAGTACAGAAAGGGCTCCATATTCTCTAGTTCAATCCATATTTGAATAATTACTAATTTTTGGTATCATAGAAGCTCAAGAACTTGTTGCAAGAATAATATTCTGATGCACCAAACACTAACAAAGCATTTGAGTACCAAAAAAATTATCACAAATAGGTAAAAGGACCTCATTGAGCAGATGAGGAAACACATTGAATAGTCGACGCATCTTACATTCATTTATATTCCTTTTGATGAACATTGTATATGTAAACACACACTACATATAACTCAAGTGCCCGTTTTCGGCATCTTTATGAACTAAAACATCAAAGTCGCTAACAATCCATTTGGTCGTAGCCCCTGCTGGGCTCACGTAAATTTTTTTGCCGACATTAAGTGATGACTATACTCGTGTTGTCGGTTTTGTTCCCAGATCCTGCATAAGAATTTCAAAAATGATTACATTACCTCAAACAGTTCATTTTTCACATTATTAATCGTTTTGGATCAAAAAAAACTTTATCCCATATTGCTAGCAAACACTCCGTTAATAGTAATACTTGAGTCATTCTTTTTCTTGACTTCCTTTTCTCAATGAAAGATTTCTTATCTGATAGAAATACAACTGACTCGAAACAACTCTGAAAGGGCCCTAGTAATAGAAAAGAAAGATTTGTTATTTCTAGCACCAACTCTTAAATCAACATCAAGACCGCAAGTTCCGTAAACTCGGAGAACCTAGATAGAGGCTACCTTCAGAGCATGGTTAAAAGCTAAAAAAAAAAAAAAA